GGGCTCTGTTTTCTTGCTCTCTCTTTTCCTTCTTGTCCTAAGCATCTTGAATCTTGATTCTTCTCTTGTGGCTATGGTGTTTGAACCTTGAACAGATTATGGAAAACACCAGTTCTGTGTCTTTGAGTGGGTTGTGCATTGTGTTCTCCAGAGTAACGCGGCAACATCCTGTTGGCATCGTTATTGGCAAGAATTCGTCCAAAATTGGTAAATTGTCAAGCCTAAGAACACCCCCCCCCAAAAAAAAATAAAAAAAAATTGTACAACTTAACACGGATTCACACAGATTCACACAGATTCACACAGATTCACACAGATTCACACTCCTAAGAGTCCTAACCTGTGGAGGAAAAGCTCTTCAGGTGTATCCTGGTTACTGCAAGTGACAGGTTCAACATCTATTCCTGGTTTAATCCTGGTTTAATCCTGGTTTAATCGTGGTTTAGACTGTTCAGTCCGTTTAGTCCTGGTTCAGTCCTGGTTTAATCCTGAATTAATCCTCGTTTAATACTGAATTAATCCCTGTTTAATCGTGGTTTAGTCCTGGTTCAGTCCTGGTTTAATCCTGAATTAATCCTTGTTTAATCCTGAATTAATCCTTGTCTAATACTGAATTAATCCTTGTTTAATACTGAATTAATCCTTGTTTAATCCTGTTCTAATCCTGGTTGAAACAGTGGTTTAAATAAAATTTAAGCCACTATGATCATACTGCCACGCACAAGGCTGTGAACTGTCAGTGGTGATCACCCTTTTCTTGAACAACATCTCCCCTATTTGGACTTTTGATGAAGGTGTGAAGATAAAGATATAAACGGGAATAAACCTCCATTCCATTTCAATTTACTGTAGTATTATATCCCAGTTGCATCATAAATGTGTTAGTCTGTGTTACACTATGCTTATCTTTCTGAACATGCAATCACTTGCCTGATGAGTGGGGCCTCAAGTCAAACCTCAGCAAAAAAACACAGCACGAGGCGCAAAGCCTAGAAGGATGGCAGTCTGAAACCAGGTCTGAACCAAGTTTCGAAGTTTGAACCTAATGGTGACCTGTCAGCACCGACACTGTGATGCAAGGACCAATCATGCAATACATCCACAGATCTGTGTGTGTGTGTGTGTGTGTGTGTGTGTGTGTGTGTGTGTGTGTGTGTGARAGAGAGAGAGAGAGAGAGAGAGAGAGAGAGAGAGAGAGAGAGAGAGAGAGTTTGATTGAATGCACAGGTTGGTCAAGCACATTCATTTGATCGAACGCACACGGTAAATCGAGCATGCGTTGGGGAAGGAGGGGGAGAAAGAGAGAGAGGGGAGGGAAAGAGGTGGGGAGTGGAAGCCGCCACCATTGCAGGTCAAGAGTGCACACACAAAAAAGGAAGAAGTGGAATAGCCATGCAAGGAGGGGGAGGGGAAAGGCAGGTGGGTTATGGAAACCGTGTGGTCCAGTTCCCATCAAACTGGACTGCACAGGTATACTCCACTGAATTGGACGAACTGGACCATGTCCAGAATATGGACCCAAGGCTGGAGACCTTGCGATCCACTGGCAAAAAGGCGGCACTTCCCTGCCCACGAGGAAAGCTCTGCTTGAAGCACCATCCCTCAAGCAAGATGCACCGGTTAGCACGCCGGCCGTTTCGTGGATGTACAGCCTGCCTGTGGGCCAAAGTTCATTCATGATGAGAAAACTGTCAGAGGTCCACCACATAGCTGGGAAACGTACTGGTGGTCTAACCGACACTACGACTGAGAAAACAGTTTTATGGTTTAGACCGTTTAGGTCATCTAGTCTTCCTGTTAAAAGTGCAACCCTGGCGAATGTTCTGATTACTTTCTTACCTTCCCAAGTTTTTTCTGTCCCCCCCCTTTTCTGCACAACCCTCAAACTTGAGAAGTTGAGAGGGGAAAAAAAAGAACAAAAAAAAGAGAAGGTTTTTGCATTGCAGGGAAAGGCAAAAGCTGACAGTCAATCCTCAATGATGTTGGAGTAATCAATAATGGTCAGGCAGGGTTCCTTCGGCCTGAATCGGCCATATGGGGAAGAGAGTGTGAGTGGGTTCATGATATACTCATTTTGACTTGCCGCCGTTAACGGGGGAATTGGAACCGGACTGACGCTCCCCAGAATGGATATGGAGCCGGGACCAGAAGGGCCTATTTTTTTTTTTTTTTTTAAAGCAGGGTTGCATCCCTGCCGACTGCCGACCCTGACCGCCAACCGTATTACAGCCAACCAGTAGGGTCGACCGGTCGGCGGTCGGCCAACCAGTCAGAAAACAACCATCCACTGATTTTTTTTCAAATCTGAGTTGGGGGCTGTACTGCGCTTGATGAGTACAGCCCAAATCCGCTGAGAAACTTGTGGGGATGGGGGGGTTATGGGGGGGTTGGGGTTGGAGTATAGGGCGGGTATAAGGGGGGTATAAGGGGGGTATATGAAAAGAAAAAAAGAAAAGTTTTTTTTGCAGCTGGAGCCACGCCCATTAGGGACCTGCTGTCTTTGTTGTTCTTCTTGGGTTCTTGCAGGTGTGAGTCATGCATGATAACACCGAGAAGCAGTGCCTAAATGTGGTGGGGTGGTATGTGGACGGCATGCATTTGATTCGAACGTCAAAGAAGTGATCAGTTTCATTTCGAGTCCACTGAGTCCGCGCTTGTCAATTTTTTGTGGATGGCAGTCTTGAGCAGATTGGTTGTTGAAGGCATGTATGAGCGGGCAGTCGATAGCACGAACGACGAAGCGCATGCTGCAACCACTGCCACGACGGGTGCTGACGACAAAGCAGGTCGGGAGGGAGAGATGGAAGAAGATGGAGCTGGGACAATGAGCAGCCATAGGGGCAATACTACTAATGATGATCAGTCCACCACTGATGTGCAGTCTATCGACGGAGTCCGCGCTCCTGCAAGTGGAGGCATACAGTTTAATGAGGGTGCCAAAGGATGTGTTCGGGGTTGTATGGTTATCAAGCACGATCTCTTCGGAATTACAGTCTGTGAAAAAGCGTCAGTCAAGATCAAACATTGTGTGTCGTCCAACAATGGAGGTAAGCCCCGCAGGAACGTCAAGTTTGAAAACGGAGGCTGAGCCACCCATGTTCTCTCTCTCAGGATGAACACTCCCTGGTCGTTTCTTTTTTCTTTTTCTTTTTTTCTAATTCATCTGGTTGCATCTGGATTCAAACTGGGGTATGTATTTTGACCGTTCATGGGTGTACCAGCTCAGCTCTCCTCCTGCTTCTGCTCACAGTTTTACCTCTTTTGCATCATGAGCCAACAACTCTAAACTAGACACACACAATCTGCCCCGCCTTTCCAGGAGGTGGAAGCCGAGGTTCTACCTCTCACCGGGTGGTGGAACCTTTGGGAACTGGAACCTTGTTGAAGTGGAACCTTGGGTTCCACTTCCCAAGTTCCATTACCAAGGTTCCATCATCAAGGTTCCATTTCCCAAGAAGTGGAACCTTGGCCATTTCCCTGGATTTTAACCGTATCTGACTGTTAATCTGCGTAGTGTACAGTTGGCATAGCAGAATGTGTGTGAGTGGGACCGCACCCCGGGGTCCCAAATCGACTATGTTTCCTTATCTGTATCTCTGTTTTCCTATTCCGTGTATCTCTGTTTTTCTATTTCGTGTATGTTACCTTATCTGTATCTCTGTTTTCTTACTTTGTGTAAAAACTCTGCGTAAGAACTGGGGGTAGAGGGCCTAAAGTCATTTTTAATTTTTCATACAACTTTGCATTTTTTTTTTTTTCTTTTTTTTTTGGGGGGGGGGGCTAGCGCCCCAGGCACCCCGCCCGGTGTACCCCGGGCATGCAAAAAACCCACCGAGTTTTTTTGTTTTTTTTTTTTTCAACCACCAGACCTTGCTGCGCTTTGGGAGTAATGCCCAAATCCGGCCTCTTTTTTTATTTTCACGTATGTTGATTTCTGTGGGTCGGGGGGGGGGGCAGCAGGAGGGGGCGAATTTGAATCCTGTATCAGCGCGCACCATCGATCTATGCAGATCGACGACAAGAATCCCCCCAAAAATTAAAAAGCTACAAAACGGGGCCTACCGGACTCCAAAAAAGAATGCGCCGACCGCTGAAGACAAAGTTGGCACGTTTGGAATAGGGCTGCGGCAAGAATTTTTTTTTTTTGCCTTTTTCTGCCTTGTTGCGAGAGGCGTCCGGGTGCCTGCTTGGGGGGTCGCCCGGCCGGGCACCCCGGGCGCCATTCCGGGCATGGTGGGGTACCCTGTGCGCCCGGGGTGGAAAGCTTGGGGGGGGGGGGGAATTTGCACTCTTTACAAAGAGCAGGAAGGCAGGGAAAAAAAAAAGAAGGTAAAAGTACACGAAAAGAAGAAGAAAAAAAAAAGTAAAGGAGAGGAAAGAAAAGAAACATGCGTGAGTTTTCATTGTAATTACTAATTCCTTTTGACTTGCCGGTGGAATAGGAACCGGGAAAACAAAAAGGAACCGGACTGATGCTCCCCAGAATGGAAAAATAGCCTGAACCGTAAGGTTTACTTTTTCCTTGGAAAAAAAAAAAGAAAAAGAGAAGCAGGAAGACGTACCTTTTGTGAAGTTTTTTCACGGTTCGGTTTGCAAACAAGAAAGAAAACCTTGTGGGCTTGGCATCCTGGCGCTATTCTATTCTGGGTAGCATCAATCGGGTTCCTTTCCTTCCAAAGGGGTACTTTTTGCATCTGGTACTCAGGAGCTTTCTTTTTTTTGCCGATGGTACTAAGGATCTTTCACATGGGGTTTTTGTGCATTGCTTTGTCGCTTAAGACCAGGAGCGATGAGGGGGGGGGAAAGGAAAGAAAAAGGGGATTTCTGTAAACCTCCTGTCACGCGGGGAGCCCTGGGGTCAATGCTGGGGTTGTGGTGCCGATCCCTGCGGGGGGATGGCAGGGCTACACAAAAAGTCCGATTTTCTTGTTTTTGATTCCTTGCAATTCCTGTGTCGAGAAATGCAGAGGACCGATTTTTTGTTTGGGTGGGGCTTTTGATTGGGGCAGAAAAAATTGTCCCAACCTCGTCATCGCTAACCTATGATGCGACCGCAGGCACCCCCACCCACGTAGTGACTCACACCTGCAACCCCCCACCTCCTCGCCCCGAACCCCTCCTGCTACGGATTCCGCCAGGGCTCGATCCCTGGTCCGTGGGTTACCACCCACCAGGCTGCTATTCTATTTTTTTTAAGTCTCTGATCTCCGGTTCCCGACTGTTGGCGCCCTCTGCAGTTGGCGCCCGTTCTCAAATCCCACCTCTGGCACTTTCGGATTTCGATACTTGGCGCCATCCGGCATTCTGGCGCCCAGGCTCAGACCTTCGATTTTCAGTTCAGCCCCGAGGCAAATTGCACTTCTGCCCTCGGACTCAACTTGAGTCCGGTACTTAAGATCGGACTCAAGCTGAGTTCGGGGATTCAGTTTTCGGCATCAGTGCTTGTGCTTCAGTGTGACTTGCTGCGACATTGTGTACGGAACCAAGATTGCGACTTTGCAACTTTGCGACTTTGCCACTTTGCCACTTTGTGTCTGCATACGTCGAGTCGTGTCAAGTCCGTGTCGAGTTGAGCGAGTGTGTGTGTGTGCTCTCACTCCCTCCCTCTCTCTTCCCCGACCTCGCTGCTCCACCTCCACCTTGTCACACCTCCCGTGACTGTCACCCGCAAAATATAACCCAGCCCCCCCAACCCTTCCCCCAAAAGCACATCCTATCCCCCAGCCCTACCCCTACCCCCCCAGCCCCACCTCCCAAAGCACACATTCCCCAATGACTCACCCCCCCTTGTGCCCTGCAGCCCCACCACTAACCCTGCACCCCCCCAAAAAAAGAAGAAAGCGACAAAGTCACAAAAGGCCTCCTGTGTACCACTTACATGCTTTTAACTGACTGAGCTAGGCCGCTTGGCCCGGCAGGTAGCCTTTTGTGACTTTGTCACTTTCTTCTTTTTTGAAGTTTTTTCCTTATTCAGAATGACTTTATTGAAGTTTATTCTGTCCATCTGACAGTATCTGGATTCGAACTTGAGTGTGTATTTCAACAGTTCATGGGGGACCACTGTATTAACTGAGCTAAGCCCATCGGTGACCGGTGACTTTGTCGCTTTCTTGGTCTGCGTGTTTGTTACATTCCAGGTCCAGGAATTGCTATCTTCGGATCTGGTCGCTGCGAAATTGAGGGAAGCAGATGTGAGAGCAACAAGGGGCATGGTGTCGTCATGCACTGTAAGCCCAGCCGTGTAGCTCGAAATGTCATTTGTGGAAACGGCGGCCATGGAATCTTCCTGAGCACCGAGCACGTGTTTGGACCTCATCAGCGCTTCTTGAGTGGGAAGAAGGGTGAGTTCAGACTCTGTACTAGAGAGGCAATATACCATATAGTATATACTTATTATACTATGTATTACATATCGTACCAACTCTTGTTTATTCTATCGTTGTTGTCGTTTCACGGAGCCACGTCAATGTTTGTCTGGGTTTCGTAACTTCTGAAAGGCATTCCACGATGCAGACCCCAAACTCGAATTTCAGGGTCAAGGTCTCAAGCCAAGTTGGTCAGTTTCAGAAAAGTCACAGTCGGGTACCTTAGGCACCCGGTAAACAGTCACATCCCAGAGGCAAAGGTTGCGTTCTATAAGCAAAGTCACGTCTCGTATTGAAAAGTCATATCCCACAGACAAATGACACTTCCCCAGGCAAAAGTCGCGCCCTCGAGGCAAGAGCCACATCCCATAGTCAAAAGTCATGTTCCACAGGTGAAAAGTCGTGACTCACAGGCCCAAGCAGCAGCACAGCAATGAAAATTCCGGAAAGTACCAGGCCTTGACATTCTGAAGCAAGCAGGCCGTGGGCATGTGGTACCAGTACCAAGTCAAACCAGAAGAAGCAGATGCTGGGATGAGCTGAAGCTCAGTCCATGTCAACATAAGGACTGGCCAGCCACGTTTCAAGCAGATTGCTCATTCATGAGAAGTGTGGAAGTGCTGCTGAAGCGCTTGTGCGCTATCTGCGAGTAGCATGTGCGAGAAAGCCCTGCTGGGCAGTGCTGCACCAAGAGGGAAAGCGGCCATAGCCGCATACCTTGTGAGAGGAGGTAGTGCTGAGTAGCAGCGGATCTATTCTGAGTCAAGATTCTCAAGTAGAGAGAGAGAGAGAGAGGGAGAGAGAGCACATGCATGAGGAAGACCAGAAGGGACAGAGAAGACAGAGAGAGGGAGAGAGGGAGAGAGAGAGGAAGACAGAGAGGGAGAGAGAAGAGAGCCACCTACCTTTGATGAGGATGCTGGTATTTGGTTGCTGTCTTCTGCACTGTTGAGCACTTGGTGACTGGATCTCCGAAACTGTTGATAGTTTGTTGGGATTTCTAAGCTGCGCATATCTGGACTCTACATCTCTGGACTTCATTGTGGATTTCGTGTGATCTCTCATTGTGTGTGTGTGCGCTCATGATGTTGAGCAGTAAGGCTCCATGCAATTGGTATCGGAGCTGGTAACTCGCTGCATCCGTTGGTAATGAACGCTGGCATGATTAAGGCCGGGGAGAAGGAAGTTGGGAGTTTGACTAGGGGCTGTAGGGCCATGTAGGCCAAAGAAGAAGTGGACAGGTTGGGGATGGTGATTACGTACCTGCAAGCGTGGAGCATCGTCGAAGGAATGTTTATGAGTGAAGTGCATCGCCCCCCTAAGCCCTGCATTTGCTTTAATGAATAAATGAGTGTCCTGGTACCTTCCCACATCTTGTTGCCGTTGCTGCTGGACAGAACACTTGGTGACAATCTGTTTTTGTGTTGAGTCAGCATCTGGTCAGACATATGTGTATGAAGTCGGCAGCTGGATGTATCACCCGTAAAGTAGGGAGCATGGGCATGAGCGGCGAGTGCTCGTAAAACAACTCGTCTAGCCCTAAACCGGTACTAACCGGCATGCAACCATACCGGAGCTGACGCAGTGCGGAGCTATAAGTCTTGAGAGCAAACTTTCAGATCCTGGTGGGCACGACGTCATGTCTGTGTCGTTAAATAATTCTTGAGGTCCTTGCTGGCTGACCTTAAAATTGCTGGTTGCCCACCAGTTTGACAGGGTAGCTGTAGTGACATTGTGGGAAGGGAAGAAGTAGATAAGTCAGACTCCAACTTAAAGTAGAAAGATTAAGTATTGAGTGTTAAGTCTACGTGGTGAGGAGGTGGAGGATACATATTTGTACCTTCAGTAGCCATGGATGACTGCCCAATGTTCGCAATGTTGACCCTGTCTGTGTTATGGGATCCACTCCTCCATTTCTTGTTCCCTTTAGGTTTGCAGCGCACATGTGGCATGAGTGTGACCACGAGGACTGGCGGGACCACACTGCCTTACACCGCAGATCAGCAGGCAGAGATTGATAAGAAGTTGGCTGAGACAAATGAAGGAAGAGAAGAAACTAAAGGAGGAGGAAGTAAAAGAGAAACTGGAGGAGGAAAAAAAAAATGGAGAAAGAGATCAAGGAGAAAAATGAGAAATTGAGGAAGGAGTTAGAAGAGGAAGAAGAAGAAGAAGAGGAAGAAGAGGATAAGAGGTTGGAAAGGAGGAGGACCCAACAAAGAGAAGAACTGCGAGAGAGCAGTAAGGCTGGGGAGATAAAGATATAGCAGCTTGTGGCTCTGGACTGGGTTGGCAAATTCGGGTACTGGACAGAGTTAGCGGAGGAGAGTGCTGAAGAAAAGGATGCGTTTATAGCAAAATTAGAAGCTGCAAAAAACGAGGAAGAGAAGAATATGTTGCTTGAAGAAAAGAGGGGGGAGTTAAATCCGAAGCTGGTCGCAGCAAAGAGAAAAGAGTATGATGACAAAAGAAAAATGCTTGAAGAAGGGGACAGGCTCCAAAAGCAGTTGCAGGAGCAGCAAGGAAGAGAAGTGGAGCCCAAAGACCAGCTGACCCTCTTGACTAACGTCGTTCTTCACACTAACCAAGAACTAAGAGCCTTCTCATAAGTCTGTTGCAAAGGTAGAGTTGCATCAGTCTGAATTTGAAGGTACTTGGAATAACTTCCTGAGTGCAGCCTCCCACCAAATAGATCATCGAATCCTCTCATATATCGAACAGTTAGATGGCGCTCTCACAAAGAAACTGACAGACCCCGTTGTAATGAAGAAGTTCAGACTTAGTGGTGGAGGCCTAGATGCGGGAGACGATGGAGATGACGGAGACAAGCAGGATAAGAGTCCCAAGAAGGAGGGGGACCAGAAGACAAATGGGTTTGAGCAAGGACGGAAGATGAAGGTAAAGTTGTCGTGGACCTACACGGGGAAGAAAGAAGAGAGTATCTTCCATTGGGAGGCGGTTATGGACACCTATCTGTATGCGCATGTGATGGCAAGTTCATATTTGGGGGGAGGCGCAACTAGTTTTGCAATCTCGTTAGTGAAGGAGGCCGGTTGTACCTCTATGGTGCAGTATTCACAGAGGACGAGGATAGAGGATTTCTTTAGGGCCCTCAAAGACAGATTCGGAGATGAGAATCTGGCCCGCCGTACATAGTCCCTGATCTTTAACATCAGTGATCGCAAGTGGAAGAGTGCGTCGACACTCAAGGCCACTATGGATGAATTACTGCAGTGTCTTGAACACGGTGTCATCCCTGCACAGATCTTGAATAACTTCGCTAGAGCACTCCCAAAGCCCCTAAAGACTAATCTATATCCCCGTACAAAAGAGGAGGGGATGACCTACGAAAAGTTTAGTAAGATTGTTGTAGACCATGTCGGATTCTCGTAGGAGGCAAACTATTGTCAGTACTGGAAGGATCTACAAGCCGATAAGAAGTGGAAGAATAGGACCATATCTGGCAGTATAGAGGGGAAGGATAATTTGTTGGTCACCTTCAAGGAAGGAGGTGTGGAGTCGTTACCATACGACCAAATAGATTATGGTCTAGAGGAAGAGAACAACGACCAAGTAGCCCGGGGGAGGGACTATGTGGCAGTTGCAGCCCGTGGGGGAGGGCAACAAGGTAGAGGCCGAGGTAGAGGAGGCCGAGGTGGAGATCGAGGACCCGCTGCCAGCGGGATGGTGGCCAAGGTAGCTACTACGTGGGAGATAGGAGTTATGGTCCCTCGCAAGGTGGTAGAGGTTCTCCTGTCATAGGGGGTAGAGGTAGAGGTAGATATTGGCGTGTGTACCCAGAGCACCTGGGAATAGTTGAAGGCAAACCTTGGTCGGAGATGGGTATAGACGGAAAGGTATGGGATGATCGTCGCAAGGTCGGGCAATGTTTCAAGTGTGGTGACCTCGACCACATTGTTCCTTTTTGTCCTGAGTATCAGCACCCAAAAGGGAATAGTGAGTAGAGGCTGCAGTCGCCTCTACAGGGACTTTGGACTTAGACAGGGAGACAAAAGCACACGCTGAGAAGGCACCCCCTTGTCCGAAGATCCCATTGACAGAACTGTTGTAGGCCCCCATGTAGCTAGCTGTCCAGAAACTGTTTGTGCTAGGACCTGTCTAGGTGGTTCCCTCGCAAGCATTGGTGATAAACTGATCACTCGTCGCTGCACTTGGGCCGAAATGATCCTGATGCTCACATTGTGGGGATGATAGATCCGGCCCAGATCTTGGACATAAGCTTTGGGCGTGCTATGGACAACGTGTGGGGCAGATAGATCTTCTTTCGAGACGTCAATAGGGGACCTTTGGACGGATAGATCCTCCTTTGAAACCTCAACGCGGTGCCTCGAAGCCGTGTCGACATCTCTGGAGCGGATCTAACCTCCGCAGAATGTTTGCATCGAAACCTTCCAGTTGTGTGAAGGATAGATCCGCCCCAGAGCTCAAAGACAGGATTCGAGTGTGCAACAAACAACGTGTGGGGCGGATAAATCCTCCTTTGAGAACTCAACGGGAAACCTCAGAGCCGCATCCACATCTTCGGAGTGAATCTTATCCTCCACACAATGTGTGCAACGAACCTTCCATTTGTGTGTAGGATATATCCACCCCAGAGACTCGTCCACATCTTCGGAGCGGATCTATTATCCACACAATGCACAGAACGCGTCAACATCTCTGGAGCGGATCTATCCTCCTCACAATGTGTGCATCACACCTTTCCAGTTGTGTGGAGGATAGATCCGTCCTAGAGTTACGAAGACCACATCTCTGAAGCCGATCTATCCTCCCCACAATGTGTGATGGTACCCTTCGTGTTGTGTGGAAGATAGATCCTGATGCACACATTGTGGGGAGGATAGATCCGGCCCAGAGCTCGAAGATAGGCTTCGGGCGTGGTAGACAACATGTGGGGCAGATAGATCTTTTGTTGAGATCTTAATGTTGAACCTTTGATCCTCGTCTACATCTTTGGAGCGGATCTATCCTCCACACAATGTTTGCATCGAAACCTTCCAATTGTGTGGAGGATAGATCTGCCCCAGAGCTCAGAGACGAGCTTCGGGCATCAACATACAAAGAGTGGGACGGATAGATCCTCCTTTGAGAACTCGTCGCGGGACCTCGAACTCTCACATCTCTGGAGCGGATCTATCCTCCACACAAGGTGCGTATCGAAACCTTTCAGTTGTGTGGAGCATACATCCTCCAAACCGCGTTCTCGCAACCGCGTTCAGATCTCTAGAGAGGATCTATCCTCCCCACAATGCTTCGTTGTACCCTTCCTGTTGTGTGGAGGGTAGATCCGTCCCCTTGCTCGGAGACAGGCTTCGAGCGTCTGCAATCAATGTGTGGAGCTGACAGATCCTCCTTTGAGAACTCTACGCGGGGCGTCGAAGTCGCGTCCACATCTCTTTAGCGGATCTTTCCTCCACATAATGTGCCCATCAAAACGGATGGCCTACAGACAATCTGCGGGGCCTCGAAGCCGCGTTGACATCCCTGTAGCCGATCTATCCTCCACACAATGTGTGAACGGAAACCATCTAGTTGTATGGAGGACACATCCGCCCCAAGGATGGGACGACATGCGGGACGGATAGATCCTCCTTTGAGAACTCAACGCGGGACCTTGTACCCGCGTCCACATCTCTGGAGCGGATCTATTCGCCACACAATGTGTGTATCGAAACCTTCCAGTTGTGTGGAGGATACATCCACCCCAGAGACGCGTCGACATCTCTTGAACATATCTATCATCCACACAATGTGTGCATCAAAACCTGCGTCCTACAGAAAACGTGTAGGGCGGGTAGATCCTCCTACACCTCAATGCGCGACCTCGAAGCCGCGTTTCCATCTCTGGAGCGGATCTATCCTCCCCACAATGTGTGCATCGTACCCTTTCAATTGTGTGGAGCATAGATCCTCCCCAGAGTTACGAAGGGCCGCGTCCACATCTCTAGACCGGATTTATCCTCCACACAATGTGTGTATCGAAACCTTCAAGTTGTGTCACAATCTGTGTATCGAAACCTTCTAGTCGTGTGGAGGATACATCTGCCCCAAAGACGCGTGCACATCTCTTGAGCGGGTCTATCCTCCCCACAAAAATGTGCATCGTACCCTTCCAGTTGTGTGGAGGATATATACGCCTTAGAGTTACGAAGACCACACCTCTGAAGCAGATCTATCCTCCCCACAATGTGAGCATCGTACCCTTCCTGTTGTGTGGAGGATAGATCCGCCTCAAAGTTACGAAGACCACACCTCTGAAGCGGATCTATCCTCCCCACAATGTTTGCATTGTGTGCTTCCTGTTGTGTGGAGGATAGATCCGCCTCAAAGCTCGGAGATAGGCTTCGGGAGTCCAACAAGCGGCGTGTCGGGCGGACAGATCCTCCTTTGAGAACTCAACGCGGGGCCTCGAAGTCGCGTCCACATCTCTGGAGCGGATCTATCCTGCACACAATGTGAGGTTGTGCATCCTCTCGAGCGGATGTATAACCTTCTGCGCTCCATCTCAACTTAGTTTATTTTCTCACTGGCGGATGTATCCGCTGCATAGGTGATGTCGAGCGGTTCTTCTCATGCACTTCCTGACACTTTGTGCTGGTTGTACGCAGATAAAATGGCATCCACTGGGGTTGGAAAACAACACAACACCGTCCGATCGTCCGTTGAAGGAGTGACGCGTGAGGCAGGTGGGAACCGTGAAGGGCATTTGGCGACCTCAGGTACTGCGCAAACGATCGAGAGCAGCCAACCGTTTGTTGGAGGAGCGGCTCCTGAGGCAGTTGGCAACCGTGGTGGACCTGCGACGACTTCAAGTACTACACCCAGTGTCGATTGCAGGCGTCGGCGACGTGGTTCGTCCGACGAGAAGGAAATTTTCAGTCTATAAGTGGACAACCGTTTGTAGTACCTCGATTGGGTTTCAGAAGATCATTCGACGCCAACTAAACCGCCGTGTGGAGAAGTCATGTACATCAAGGCCCGTAGTGCGATCCGGCTGCTCGGGGATGTGAATGGGTGGGAAGATTGTTCCGAGGGGGTCAGGAAGTTTTACATCCAAACGGTGTACGTGAAGAGTGGGGAGTCTGACTACAATGCCGGAGGGTGTAGACTAGCGTGGAGAAATTTTCGGGGTTTCGGAAAGGCTGTTACCAGTCTTCCGTTTTACAGCCCTATAACCTTGGATTTGGAACCTGATGTTGTCCTTCGTTGTTTCTTCGATGACTGGGAGAGATAAGTGTCACTAGACAAGTGTAAGGACATGTCGTCGGGGCATCCCATTTCCATGCCCATTAGCGTAGTCGGTGGTGATGAGCACATGAGGACGAAAACTTCTGAAACGGCGCTGACTGCCGGTCGTGATGAGGGTGCAGTGGTGAGGACCTCTGCGGAACTTTTGGACCTTGAATTCATTCCCTCATGGCCAGAGCACTCTCAAGCTTATGAAGAATCATATCCCGAAATTGAAGTTGAGGAGTGTGCAGTTACGAAGACCCCTGACGAAAAGAGGGCCGCTCCCGTGCATCAGGTCTCGGATAGACCCGTGAAGAGGATGACAATCAGCATCTGGAAAGGCGGGGGAGAAGAATCAGAGGCTCGGGTGCGTCGAGAGGTTGTTGAGGCTGGTGATGGTGAAAAGGGGAAGAGACCCATATCGGTCTGGGAGGACCTAGGAGGGGAAGGGTCTGACAAAGAGGGGGGTAACGACGAGGATACCCAGGTCGTGTCAGGGGGGGAGAAGCGCGTTGGGCAAGAGTCTGCCCAGAGGGGAAAGCAAAAAAAGAGAAAAGTGACTAGCACCCAAGGAGCCGGGGTGAAGAGAAAGTCGGCGGAAGGGAATAAAGAAACTGTGAAGAAGAAATAGGAAGGTGCAACCGGAAAGGGACCGACGAAAGCTAGGAAGGACAAGGATCAGGTAGAGGGAGAGGAGGGGGGTGGTTCGAACGATCGAATTATCGATTTGGACACATGATATTTTCTGGAGTGGGAAACAGGTGTGAAAAAAAATGTGACTCTTTTCGTGAACCCAGAGAGGGTGATTCCATTGTCGTCGTGGGAGGAGTCGTACAATCATCGTTCAATCGACGACACCCACGTTGAGTTTATTTTGAAGGCCATGCTAAACACCTACTTGAAGTCGAACCACACCTACGAGATGCCACTCGTGACATTAGCAGCAATCAGAGAGCCACCTGAGGTAGGGGATAAGGCTGTCCGTATTACACCGGACCAATTCAATGAGGACAACCCGAACGAGCACTGGTACTATGCCGTGAGCGGGCAGCACAACATGAAGGCCGCTTTGTGGTTGAGGGAGCATGATATTTGGAAGAAGCACTCATTCTTTGAGAGACCCTTCAAACCGTTGTACTTCTCGGACGAGGATTCCGGCGGTTACACCCAAATTGGTGTAATCGACAACTGGAAGGACAAAGTTCCCCTCCTAGGTCCTAGTTGCTGTCTATGATCGACATGCGACATATTTGGGAAAATTTGAAACGCCCTTGTCCAGTGGCTGGGAATGTGAAGTTCAAGAAGGACTTGGTCGCCAATTATGAGATATTTCAAAAAATGGCGTTGATAAAAACACCATACCACAACCTCTGGGACATTGTTAATAGCAGCAACAAAGAAGACAAAAAGGTATCGCTGGAGAAACTGAGGTACTTTTTGCCTCTTGTCATGAGCAATGACCAGACGTGGAAACTGGGTATGCAATTTTATGACGAGTAGATGAAGGGTAAACTTCTCGCCCCAGAAGGCGCTCTGTGGACTAAGAGACCTCCTAGGACGGACCCGAAAGCCACCCATGAGGGTCAATCTTTTGCAGAGGACAGCAGCGGCCAGAAGAGAGTCGTGTACAATGTTCGGGTTGTAGATCCAAGGCAGTGCAAGGGAAAGAAGCGGAGGAAACAGGAGGAACAACTTTTTCGTTCAAGTTAATGAACCCGGCGTGCATTGCTGGAAAGAAATGGGGAATTTCACAGTTATGGAAAAACAATGGAACCTAAACCATCTCATTGCTGATATGGCTCGGCTTCCGAACCATACGTGAGACTTTCGCCTCATATGGCTCTTCTCATAATCTATATTGATATTTGCTCTTTCTAGATTTGAGGGGTGTGTTGGACCTTGAGATTGTGTGGGGGCAGCAAGGGAGCAAGAAACTAGTTGAGCATGAGAAAATGGGGATGAAAGACGCGTGCGAAATCATAAAGCAGGACCAAATGTTGCTTCGACTGTGGCATATAATTGAGTTCCAACACCAGGGCCAGACCGACAATGAGTGGAACGCTGCTTTCTTCCGGACACTAGAGCAACTGGTGACGCGGTACGCTTCAAAGGGGTTGAACGAGAAGTTGTGGGCGGCTTGCAAGAGATTTGTTACCGATCACTCATACCTGAAGGACTGCCCCCAATACCTTGGTTGTGCCTCGGATAAGAACTTGAAAACAACGTTGGGTCTGTTTGAACACGAGAAGTTCCCTACCGAGTTCAAGCGGATTGTGTTGTCCGTGCTCAAAGGCGAATGCGCCAAAGAGCAGGAGGGGCCTGTCAGACTGGACGATTGCACTAACATCAGGTGAAGGGACACCAAAGGCATCACAACACTTGCACCTTTCGCCTACGATGCTTTCACTGTGTTTCTTGTGAAGGACGACATGCAAAGAGCTGTGAGGCAACTCCATTGCCACACGTGCATCATTGACCTTTGTGATCCTGTCGACCGAGCACGATGGAATTAGGAGGCTTTCAAGGCGTTGGCGGATTTCTTGGAGACCCTGTGTCCTGAATTTTGGACAGCGGTCACTTTTGTTCCCAGGATTTGGGACCTCTCTTTTATGGGTCTATTGCATGTTCTCCCTGTGGTGAATGGAAGTGCAGGAAAATGGGTTGGAGGGGCCAAATTCGAAAGAAGTACCAGATCGGTAACAACACATTGGCCGAGGAGGACAGGATGTATGTTCTCTTCCACGGGGACGACCTCAAGCTCAATACTTCCCCAGTTTATGAGGGGGGGTTGCGAGATGATGACGCTGCTGCCTTGGGAAAGAAGCAAAAGTGTGCACCCTCCGATATCGCTGAAACTCAGTTCACGCCTACGACGTTCCATTCAGCAGGTGTGCTCCACCAGAAGGGGGTGGTGTATAAGGAAATGGAGTGCAACCCTAGCATGTTGTGCAGCCTCACGGAGTTCCTCTACCCACCCGATAACGCAGTTATGTTCCTTGGGAAGGTGCACGCCCAAGTTGTGTGGAACCTCCTCAGTAGTGGGTGCCATGTAGTGGTCGTGGAGGGGGACATAGAACTCCTCAGCTTTCTGAAGACGTACGTCATGCACGAGATCAGTAGTGGAGTTCACAACTGCGAATTGCACATCGGGCAAAACTCGATGGACCATGACCCCACCAGGAACTTTTGGTTCAAGCTCTCCTCCAAAAAACGGGTAAAGCTTTACAAGTTTATGTTCCAGGAGACACATTCCACATAACGAACCGAGGACGACTACAAAGTACGCTGACAAGTCGCGATCAGAACGTCGGACGGCTACCATGGTGGGTTAAGGGAGGCGGCGCCCAACTTCGTCGACAAACTGGAGGAGTGTTATTTTGACCAAGGCAAGACCGAAGTCACTCTCAATATTTCTAGGGCGCACTTCACCGACGAGGAGGACTTCAACGCTAACGACGAGGAAGAGGTCAGCGAAGGTAATGCAGATGTCGATTTAGAGGCAACATACCGCAAGCATGCTGTCGATGTAGTGTCCTCGTCAACGCCTGCAAGTTCCTAGATTCCATGGGTTCGCCTGTCGGTACTCTAGTTGCCATACCAATTGCCACGCCAACGTCCGGTTCTTAGAGAGGATTTCTGTCGTCGAGGAGAAACAAACCTCTCAGCCCCACCATCAGGCCTGGACTTCCAATTTCGTTTTGTGTTGTCGGGCCTTCAACAAGTCCAATTTCGTTTTGTGTTGTCGGGCCTTCAACAAGGCGAAGTATATCACTTCGGCAAAGACCACAAGAGCACCAGCAAGGCTCATTGGGGTCACCATATAGTGTGGCATCCTGATCATTTCCAACCGGCCGTTTTGGATGGTGCATGGGTCATGTCAATCGACCATGAGGGCGTGTGGCAAGTTGATCAACGAATGTCAAAGGAAGAGTTCTTAGAATGTGCACATGAACAGGTGGTGAGGCGCGTTGCGGAGATCAACGGCCTAGAACCGAAGGATTTGGTGGTCCGAATGCACAGAGAGTCGATATTCAAGATTTTACAGGATCACAATTTATTGGACCTCCTTGCTGAATTTTATGGACCCGAGACGAGCCCGAGTTCCGGAGCCCAAATAGAGTGGGTGATTCCATCGGGAGGGGGTGGAAGCGGGGGTGGTGGAGGGGGCGGAAGCGGTAGTGGTGGAGGAAGTGGAACCGGCGATGGTGGAGGAGGTAACCAGGGCATTGGAGGCGGAGGAGACGGTGGGATGCATGACAGCGGAGGAGCGAGGGGACACGACGGTACAGGAGCGGGTGGACAAAGTCGATATCTACGGAGCTCTGCAGGAACAATCTCGCCTGGAATGGGTGCCCGTCTACACAGTGGCGTTGAAACAACAGAAGGTGCTACCTCATAGACCAGCCCGGGTTCTCGGCTTGCTGAACCCACCAGTGCCCTATTGTTCAGTGGAGGATGTATCCTCCCCACAGTCGGAGCCGAAGTTTCTGCACGTTCCAATCTGCTTAGTGTCGGGACTGTTCCATGTACAGTTTTAGTGGGATCTAATTTCGCGTCCGATTTGGAAGGGGAAGTTGGATCCGTAAAGGCTGTGGAGTCTAAACTGATGTCGGACGTCGACATAGGGTGCCTTTCCATCGGCTGCAAGGAATTCCTGGAGGAAGGATCTATCCGAGTCGGCCATAATGAATTCCTGGAGAGAAGATCTATCCGACCCACAACGGATTGTGCAACCAACATGTCGTTACTGAGCTCTTGCGCCGACGGTGGATCTATCCTCCAAACAAGTCGGTCTGGGGAAACCCAAGCCGGCCACATCTTGATTGGTTTGCGTTATTACAAAGAGGTCTAAAACTGGGAAAATAAAAGTAGGAAGCCTTACCACAGAGGTCGCGGGAGTCTAGAGCCTTTCAGCCTAAGGCGGATCTATCCTCCCCACAACAAGTTGGGTTGGGGAGGCACAAGAAGGGAACCTTCCCGCAAGTGTCCCGACAGTCCAGAGCCTTCTCGCTAGCGTCCAGACGAGAAGTCAGGCTGCTGAAACGGTAGTAGGAAGTCAGGCTGGGGAAAAGCTAGTAGGAAGCCTTCTCATGAGCGTCCCGAGAAGCCAGAGCCTTTCTGCCAGTGGAGGATCTATCCTCCACACGACAAGTCGAGCGGGAGGAATGCAAGTAGGAAGCCTGCCCGCAAGTGTCCCGGGTGTCCAGAGCCTATCACCCATAGTAGGATCTATCCTCCACATAACAAGTCAGGCTGGAGAAATGAAAGTACAAAGCCTCCCCGCAAGCGTCTCGATAGTTCAGAGCCTTCGGGCCAGTGGAGGATCTATCCTCCACACAACAAGCCAGGACGCAGGAGCCTCATGCTTGCTAACCCCTGTCCAGAAAAGTTTAGCCTGGAATCTGAGTTTTCCGCGGGGAGAGATCACAAAGGACGAGCAGAGCAAGTCCACTGGCTCCGAGTCAACATATTTTTCAGAGGGAAAGGACGTCATAGACGAGCAACTCCTCCCAACATGAGATGCGGTGGTACAAAGGACAACTTTCTCTCGCAGCTGTATTCGGGAATCGATACAAGACCGCTTTCGACTGACATTGTCCTTCGTGGCGACTCAACCCAGATGCTTGAGATGCGGCCCTCACAACTCCCTGCAACTACACTCGTGTCAGGTTCGTGCGTGGAGGAGAGAGACGTCACCGTGTCGGAATAGGAAGAGGGAGTTGTCCGTCATCCGCCGGGTGATGACATCGCCAAAAAGCTTTTTCGTGACGACGCAGCCCTTGCTGCCACCTCTGTGGTGGATTCCAGTTTAGGCAAGACGCAAGGTGGCGGGACGGCTCTCGTGGAACTGTCTCTCGATGAGGATGTCGAAAAACAATGCACCGACTCTCTTAGTCCCTCTGTTGAAGAGGTAGTTCGAATTGTCAATGCTGATGATGAGGACTTGTCCAAGTTTCCAACCCGTCTGGACCACGTTGTTGCATCGGGGAAGATCAAAGGAGAAGGGGTACTACCGGGTCTGAAAGCCAGCTGCGTACAGGAGGAGAAGCCACGAGTTGAAGATGACAACGAGGACGATGCTGCTGGACACGCTCGAGAAGAAGTTGTGGTCGGTAAGCAATGACGTGCATTGCTTAACTTTGGGTCTCTCTAGTGCTGAACATCTGAAGTGTTCTTTCGCATGTAGATATCGGTTAGGGATATGTGGAACATGAGGGTAATTACTCGTTACCCTTTGGTTTGCAAAGCACGGTCGTACGCTGTATTCATAATTATGTTTCTTCATCTGTTGTACACGTCGGTCGTCTCCTTCGTGTGTTGTACGGAGAAAGTCGAAGGAATATCTTACGAAGACGAGTATGTCGCAATTGTCCACAAGGGATATGGAAATTGTAAAAGCGGGTGTGAGTGCTGAGAGAGTTAAGAAGTTGCATATCAGAGTTTGCAAGAAGTTCATTGTTTCTGCGTTTTCTGATTCTGAGCCGTACTTTGAAAGAACGATGAGTAGAGGTTTAAATTTACAATGCTTTTAGTACTAAAAGCAAAGAATTGGGTGGCTTGGACAATTAGGGTGTCATTCTTCTCATGGTCATGCATGTTGCACGGTTGGTCTGTGCAATCGACATGTGCGCACTGAGTGTTGGAAGAAGTGAGGAAGCGTTGTCGAAGTTGTTGGACAACCTTGTACATTTTTGCCCATCCCAACGATGATTGTGGCTCGCCTACCGGTGGAGAACTTGGTTGTTAGAACGATGAGTAAAGGGGTTCAGATTTACAATGCTTTTAGTACTAAAAGCAAAGAATTGGGTGGCTTGGACAATTAGGGTATCATTCTTCTCAGTGAGGAAGAGTTATCGAAGTTGTTAGACAACCTTGTCCATTTTCGCACATCCCCAACGATGATTGTGGCTCGCCTAGCGGTGGAGAACTTGGTTATTAGGTTGCTAGGGTTCGAGACATGGAGACCTTGTTGGACAGAGGCGGTGAGCTGAACGAGGTCGTCAACTTCTACTTGGCCCTGCTCGTTAGGGATTTTCGTTTATCTTCTTCGAAAGTGTACAGTGTACAACTTTGTTTCTTTCTTCTTCACGAAATTGCTACTTCAGGGTTCTAAAGGGGTCACAAGATGGACGAAAGATGTCAATCTTTTCGAATCTGACGTGTTGCTCGTCCCTATTCACAAGGACAATGAACACTGGGCTCTTCTGTCGGTATATTTTTTTTATTTTTATTTTTTTCAACCCCCTTCCAGTGATAGGGGTGCTGGTAAGAGCAGACACCAGCACCTGAGAAGAGGCTCCATCTATTGGTGGGGAGCAGCACCTGCTGGAAAACGGGTCCAGCGTTCCATATACAGAAGAAACTCGGAGTACATCAGGAAAAAAGAGCAGGAGACTCCTGCCAGCATTGATTACTCTGGAATCCAGAGGATTGACTGAGCAGGAGATTGGAAAAGGAAGAGAACCTCTTCGCCCCGAACCAGGCGCCAGATGTCCACCACTACTAACTAGTTCCTCCCTCCCCCTGCCCCTATTACCCCCCAGTCCCAAGTGTCAGTCTCAAAATGAAAACCTCGAACATTAAAGGGACAAGCTTCTGTTTGGAATTTGCTCAACGAGGCTAGAAATGTTGCACTCCTTGCCGCGCCGTTATATGCTCTGCCCTCGCTCAGACTGCACAGGCGGTTCCATACCATTGCAGGTCCACCATTGCTAGCTGGTGGGGCGGGAAGGGGTCCGAAAATTATGTGGATGGTCGCAGCGGGAACTCCTCGCCCACCACTGTCCAGTCTTTGAAACAAATACGGTAGTCCTTTCTGAACTCTCCCTGGTGGTCTCCCTAGGTAGGCCTGCCTTCCCATCTGTCGGAGGCAATCCAACCCCCATTCTCGCTGCCCAACCAGTCCCTTGAGAATTGTTGGATTGTTTGTATTATATCTTTGAATGAGTGAAACAAGTCCAATTGATTCTTAATTATTTGCCACTGTACCATTAGTTCTTGTTGGACATATTGTTTTATCATATCTGTCACCTCCCCCTCCGCAGTACGGGATCCCTCTATGACATGTATACAGTGTTTCCTCCAGAGGGCCCACATGACAACTCTCCTTCCTATTTTAAACCACTAGTACCTCCGCCCGTGTTGGGAAATTACGATGTTTTGCCAGTTTCCGAAGTTATCGGGGGTGGGACACAGGGTCGACACTGGCCCATAAATCAGCTTTTTATATTGCCCGTGAGTGAAAGAAAAAGGAAAAAAAGAAAATACTATCTCTACTGCAATGATGTCGGGCAGGGTAGTCTTGGAGGCCGTGCTCAGAGTCCTCCGCAGAATGCACCTCACCGGTAGTGCGGTCACATTCTGGATGTTACTGTTTTCTTTTATTTCTTGCTCGTGTGTTTCTTATAAGTCCCCTGTCAATGAGGCAGGGGGGAATCCGTTAATTGCTCAAGCCGTCTGTGATCTGCTCAAGTTGTGTTTTGTCAGAGGATTGTAACACTCATCACACTGGTACTAAGGGGAATGTATCCAGCCATTTTCACGGTCGGATCCGTGTGCCCGTTTTTTTCCCCTTATATTCTCTTTTTCGAATCTGACAACCTGGCCACAGGGCTGAGAAGCCCTCACTGAGGGTACACTCGCACTACCACTTCCAAGAATGTATACAACTGCAATCACGACCAAAGCTTTGTTTCGTGTTTTTTTTTTTT